GGCCCTGGAATCATGGTTTGTTGCAAAATTCATCCATTATACAAGACAAGGCCCTGTATTTTGATGTTTGGGTGGATGAAATAATTACTCCCTGTTTAAGGGGAGCTGTGAAAGTAAAATGTGGAGCACAGTCCCGGGAGACTTGAGCACATATTTCCTCTTCTTAAGAACCACGAACGCACTGAGGATGTTTTTTCGACAATAATACCAAAAATGAAGATCACTCAATTGCGAAGAAAGACATTTTCCAAGGAACTATGGATAAGCTTACAACATGTAAAACCAATTCAAATTTAACTCTACTTTTGTAAAAGACTGTAACTAAAGCATGATTTCTACATGTAAGTATTTACCGTGTGATTTGAATTTCAGAAATTTCTTAAGAGTTCACCTATTCTTGCCCACATTATGGCAAGATTTGCAGCAGCGTGCCTTTATGTCACTGAATTATATGCACTAACATGGGTCCTTATTTCACGCAGTGCAGTGGAAAAAAGCAACCTCACTCCTCTTCCAAAATGACTACAAATAATTCAAGAACGTTATCGCTGCACAAAAGCTGTACCTTCTTACTGATCTATGATTTCTTAAACTCTTCTTTATTTTCTTTTCTAAGTAATGATATTTTGAAGCCACTTCTTTTTAAAATGACATAAGCTCAATAGAACACAATGTTCCAGATTAGTTTTTCATGAGCAAAGAGTACAGTTGAAAAGAACTCTTTGGTTCTGCAAAACGTTCTTTCAGAAGAAGACTAGGAGAGCTCGGCCATCATCATCATCATGGTTCATAGTAAGGCAAATGTTAATAAATGTCTGCTTCCTTCCCCTTAATTTCATTGTCAATTGAAAGTCTCCTCATCTGCTATGAATGCAATTAACTTTTAAAAGCTAAATTCTGAGCTTTAGAGGAGCAATCAAATTGAGAATTATAAATTATTGGAAGTTAAGAAGCCTGTGATAGTCCTGGCTCTACTCCAGAAATGTCTTGTGACCATGGCCTACCTACAGAAGTAGATGTTGAAGCTCTGGGCTTTGGTTATTTCAATATGGAGAGTGAAAGTCTTATACCAATCAGGGTCCAAATGGAGCTTATACACTTAAAGTTCTATAATATACAATACTGTGTTCATAACAGTTCATTCTTATAAAAGTTGATATTCTAGTTTTGAGAAAAATACATTACTTACCTAAAGGGATTATGTCAATTAATCATAGCTGGGAATATGGTTCAGTGATAGGGCTCATACTTAGCATGCACAAGCCCCTGGATTGACCCCCAGCACCATAAAAAAAGAAACAAACATAATTGGTAAGCTTTATGCATGAGAATTAGAGTACAGAGGACATTACCTCCACATGAAGGCTCTGGACTCCATCCTGATTTAGTGCACGTAGCATCTCCTCTTACACTGTATTCAAAACCTTGGTTACATTTGTATTGAAATCGTTCATTCTCCTTAAAAATGGTATGTTGAGATACAGAATATCCATTTCTAATTTCTGGTGATATGCAGGAAATTTCTAAGTAAAAAGAATTAAATTTATAAAATTTTTATTATAAATAAACCATGACATTTTGTTACCATTAGGTAAAGCTACTAAATAAACAAAAATTCTGTTTTGACTTGACTGCTTGATGACTGACTTGGTGTTCTTGACATTTATCCTCTCAAGACATTAAAATTCTCATTCAAATTATGTTTCTGATTTTATGGCATCTAAAGGTAAATTGGTCCCCTTAGCATAAATGGCAGCCAGTCACAGTCATCTCATGGGTATGCGATGTTGAATGTAGGTATAGGTTTACTGTAATAAGTATTGTCATAGAGTGACCTGCAAAAGTAGCACATTTTCTAGGTATGGATTAAAATAATTGCTGAACATTTTGTCAAGGAAATGCATTTAACTCATTTTTCATTACATATTGAAAAGTAACTGATTTCTGCTGTTGAGTCTTTGCTATCCATGCAGCTTTTCTTTAAAAAACAAGAAAGCAATACCATCATCTTTGACATCACTTCTCTCAAATACTTTTCCCTGGAATTGTGGCAATGATAACTGGCCTCAAGCTTACATCTTTCCACATTCCTCTCTATTCACTCCTCCTGGTCAGTATGTTTTCACTTTCCTCATCTTCAGCTGGAAAATATCTTACTTATCCTCACTATCCTACATCTCAGGAAACTGAGGCCGGAGAATTGTTCTGAGTTCACTGCCAGCCTGGGCTGCATGCCCAGACCCTATTTTAAATCAAAACAGAAGAAAACATAACCATAAACAAAACAAAAACAAATTTAAAAAATCCTAAAGCAATAATGATTAAAGACTTATCTTAGGATCAGTTTCTTTCCCTCTCACAATATCTATTGTACCTTTCAGACTTTATTTACTCTTTTGGGTTCTCTTGTTTTGAAATTCGGTATTGTTTTTGTGTTGTTCTGTTTTTGTCTTTGTTTTGTGTTATTTTGTTTTTGTTCTTTTCTCCTTAAAATAAAAAAGGCTTATCTTAAACATTAACTATTCCAGGAAGGATTCACTAACTGTAGAAATGTACTTGTAAGCATATGAATTTCTAAATTATAAAATATTTGCTCCAATAAATGTAAATATTAGTCTATCATTATTATCAAGATAGAAGGAGTTCTGCTAGAAGGAGTTCTTAGAAAGAGAACTCTTTTTCTCTGTAAGGAGACTATAGTAAACAAGTATAAATAATGCGGAGATTTTCAATAATGCTATAAATAAATATGACAAAACCTTTGCATAAGAAAGGGAAAGAAACTTCTCAATAGGAAAGAACAACAGGGATGAGGAAAAGGAGAAAAGAAAGAAGGAAAGGAAAAAATATGTATGCATACACAAGATAGCTAAGATAATTGTACTACTAATTTCTATTGGTTTTTTGAAAGGAACAGCTAATGTTTAATTGTTTGATCAATCTTGCATACTTATATCTGGTAATCTGAGCAACTACTTTGAAGTTAATAATAAGTAATACAGCATTCATTGTTGATTTCCTATCTTGTTTTGAAATTCTGTATCATTTTTATGGTGTTTATGTTAGTTTGTTTTTGTCTTTGTTTTTGTTCTTTTCTCTTTAAAATTAAAAAAAAAAAAGAAATTTTTGCACATAAAGAAATGGCAAAGTAAAGCATGGTAATGTCAAACACATTGACTTGAATGTGTATTCCAAAGACCAAAATCATCTACTGTTCAAGATGCACAAATCACCATCATTACTAAAGAAACTGAAGACATTGTGGATTGCAATTTACTATAGAACTTTTTATAAAAAGCATACAATTATTTAGTAGATTCTATTCATTTAAGAAATGTTTATAGTAAACGTGCAGCACAAATATAGAAAAAGGAATGTAAGCAATGTTTTTTAAAAATGGAACGGATTAGTGGAAATAAAAAATGAATTTTGATTTTCAAAATTTAAAATTTTCTTCTGGAGATCAGTTCTACAACCTGCAGTAGAAATGCTGGACATTCTATTTCAGCCCGTAAGAGCTAATGACCAGGTAATTATGATAAGAGCATGGATGCCTGTATCAGATAACAACCTAAGTGGAAATACTGACTCTTTATGTTGTGGTAAGCCAGGGGATATAACTCAACTTTGCACCATAGTTTCTTCCATTAAAAAATAAGACAAAAGTACAGAACTCATACAGTTGTTCTGAAGGTAAAATAAGATGATTCATGTAATAATATTTAGATCAATTATAGGGAACTAGTGTATGCTTAACAGACATTAACTGTGTTCAGAATTATCTGTGTTCTTTGGGGTGGAAAATGTTTTCAAGTGTGTATTTTCTGGAGGAAAAACTAAAACTATTCACACAAACAAACAGGAGGTACATCTTACCCACACATTTTGGTTTCTCTTTATTCCAAAGACCATTTTCTGAGCAATGTATTTCTTTATGTCCTTCTATCTTGAAGCCTGAATTGCACTCAAACTGTATCACTTGTCCAAAATAGTATTCCTGGTCAGGTTCTGATGCACTGATAATTCGCCCATTCTCTGGTCCGGTTACTGGCAAACACTTCACAACTGAAAGAGTAAATATAAGTTTTGGAATAGAATTTGAAAACTTGACCATGACATTTGTCATGAAAAAAGTGTCAACAAGGTAAGACTAGAGGAAATTATTGAAATATTTTAGAAGAATTTCATATGCCTGCTTGCAAGAGATAAAGGTTAAGCAACAAAAACACTGGTATATTTTATCTTGGATTCTTTTCAATGGGAGTAGGCAATAAAATTCCTAGGACTTTGTTAATTTGTAATTGCATGATAACAAGTGTCTCAAATAATTAAGACATATGAATCTTGAATTAAACAAAATTTCTACTTATGCTCCAGAATAATATGCCATTGCACTCTGAAAATATGTAAAAGCAAACTTATGATGGCGTTTATTTCCTCTTCCATCTCAGTGTTCAAAACAATTTAAGTACTTCTTTTGATTTTACTTAATATTTTCAAATTTTCTGAAATTATGAAATTCAAGTTTTATGTTACTGAAAAAAGTCCCTGAAAGCTTGTTGCAATGGAAATTCTAAGGCTGTTTCCCTGCTTCCCAAAGAAACATTTTTTAGCAGCCAAAACTCTCAGTTTTTAATTAGCCTCCCAGGTAATTCTCATGTAGATATTTCCTAGAACGTTTCTTCTCATTTCCATCTGTGAAAAATCTCCTATTCTTCTCTAGTTGATAGGATTATTATTTTGTGATTAAAACATTTCTTGTTTTTATTTCCTCTTTCTCTGCAATTACTACTCACAAAGGAACTAGTAAATACTATTCTGGTTGATCTTTTTTATTTCAGTGATGATTAAAGGTTTGGGTTAGTAACTCCAAACCTGGAAACAAGATCCACATTTTTTTCATTCTTAGTGTTTGCAAAACAGAGCTCTCTCAATTCCTGCCTTTTTTCTTTCCAGCAAAACTATGACCAGCAGAAAAACATGTTGTGTACTGAATCATGTTCTGTTGTTACCATACATCCCTGCATTTGGGAGTTTGTGGATGAGACTTTCACTAAAAAAGCTAAAATTCTGAACTTCTTTAAACTACTGGTGCTTATGTATAAATTTAGAATCCACAATCCAAAAAGAAAGAAAGAAAAAAAGCTTTAGATTTCCTAATATCCAATACTTTGCTTGTTAGGTCAGATCCGGTCATATGCACATTTGGTATCCTGATATCAGGTTTTTTTCTTCTTGGGGATGGTGCTGAACACAAAACCCCAAACTTTTCCCATGCTGGGCAATCACTCTACAGCCAGGCTGTATCTCCAGCCCCCATACTGGCTAAATTGAAGCATAAGATAATGTGTTACTAAAATGCCTGAGCACTCTGCACTCTACTAGAAAGCATAAAAATAACTTGAATAAGAAATATTTAATTATAGACCCTGTGGAAATTTTTTTTCTTTTTTTTTTTTTTTTGGTTTTTCTCCGGTACCGGGAACCGAACTCATGACCTTGCGCTTGCCAGGCAGACGCTTTGCCGCTGAGCTAAATCCCCAGCGACCCTGTGGAAATTTTAACATAAAATTTCTTGGAAGATGATAGGTATACTTGTCAATCAGTTTTATATCTACCTTCACATACAGGAATTTCATTGGTCCAGCCATCTGCATCACACATCCGGAAATCAGTGTCACCTACCATTTGATAGCTGAAAACACAAAAATTACACGTGGTGAAATGGTGTTTATGTTGCAGCTTTATATTTCAGTACTACTCTGAAGTCTTCTAGAAACTTCATTTCATGGAGCATTAATAGCATATATGTTTCCTCCTCTTTTTTCCTTCTTTTTTTGTTTTCCTTCTTCCCTCCTTCCCTGGCCCTCTCTCTCTGCTTCCATCCTTTCTCTTCTCTTAAATCTCTCTATTTTTCTCTTGTGTCTTCCTTCCTTTCCTCCTTTCCTCTTTAACATTCTCTTCTTTCTTCTCCCTCCTCTCTCTTATAACTTCTCTACTTCTCCCTCTCTCCTTCCTGCTCTACCTTCCTCATTTTCTTTTTTAAAAAAAAGCCTGCAGGCCCACCAAATATTTCTGCATGGACAGTTGTTTCTTTCATTTGCATATGAACATTGCTATGTGTATTGTACAAGTAAACATTCTTCAAAGAAGTGCTTTGTCTTTCTTTTATTGTTCTCCGTTTATTCTTAATTCTGTAAGGTGACACAACATTTTAAGAGACTAAATTTTAGTCACACAGCATGGAATCCACCATTTAACTCTATGCTTTATGCAGAAGAAAACTAATTGATTATTAAGATAATTCTCTAGCTCCTTTACTAGGAAGAAGTTACCCTCTTCTAGTAAAGTAGACTTATTTCCTGTCCAACATTTTCCATCCACACCAGACCCATTCATTTTCCAAGATCCTTTGGATATTCTGCAAGATTGTACCCCAAGCCTTCTAGGCGCTGTGCATGGAGGGAGAAAAGAGATTGCTGTTTGTATGTTAGTGGTTGGGAAAGATAATTGTTCTCGTCTCTGTAACCCAGATAAGCAGAATGCCAGAAATAACTTCTTCCAATTGTCTTGTCAAAACTGTCTCACTGTAGGATTACAAAACTGGACATCCATATTGGACATTCTGTTGAATGGTTAGTATACAGCAAAGGAAAAAAGAATGAGGGCCAGGGATCTAAAAGGGAAAGTTGATTGGCAGAAATGATGGTTATAGGAAACCTGTTCCACTATCAGATTCCACAGGTGGGTCAAGAGGCGGACATCTCCTCAGTGAGGTAAAACATCCCCTTGATGATATTTTAAATAACCTAAAGAGCTGATAAAGTTCTTCCAGGGTCCCAAGTCAAGTATAGAGACAACTACTCTCATGGTAGAACTCCATCAGTTTGTCCTTAGTTTATATCCTAGGAAGGGAGTAAAGATTAATTAAAGAGAGCCAACGTCGAAGACAAGTGTGTAGCTAATTTCCTCAAGAAATTATACACAGTAATTGCTGAAATTTAGGAAATCAAGAGGAAAGTGTCTATGAGTTTTAGCCACATCTGCTCTTAGCCACATCAAGGCGAACCCTAAGGTGAGGAGACCCGCCTGGGTTGAAATACGTATTTCAGAGGTGCAGAGAGGAGTAGATGGAAAGTTCAGGCCCACTCTGTCTTAATCTGACTGGCTGCATGTAATAAGATCAGCGGTAATGATTGGGAGTTGTGATGGAAGTGTGTTTGAAAAAATTGGAAAAGCTCCCTTAAGTAGTGACCAAAGAGAGGTTAGATTCATATGATCTAATATTTATTCAGTGTTTACAACACTGGGGATCTCTTCTAAGGGCTTCCGGGGTGGATCTTAATTTTTTCTGCCAACCATGTTATGATGCACATGCTAAGTCTCCTTTTTTGAGAGAGGAAATGGGAGTGAAGCAATAATTTTTTAAAGTACATGTAACTATTTTATGTGGGGGGCTTGGCGTGCGGCTTACTGAAAAAAGACTGGTCTTTAAATTATTGCATATTTTCATCACAAATCAAGAAATAATTGGAGACTAACAATATTGCATTTGTACTAGCTTGATTCTAATTATATTTATGTAGTATAAAATTATAGTGATAGGATCCCAGCTTTCCCATGCATGAAATTTCCTTCAAAATAACTTTTTGACCTGGATAGGAATAACAGAAGAAGGAACACTGAGGAGATACCTCGATGAGATCAGTCATGAAAACCCAGTAGTTAATTAGAAGGCAAAGAGCCAATGATTCTAAAAGAGTTGCAATTTTGGTCCCTGCGATAACAGTTTGCATACCATGGAGCCGTATATAATAAGTGGGTAAAGTGCTTACTGCCCCTAAATTTTAGAAAGTTTTATCAAGATAATTGCCATATAATTTAATTTTGTTACAGTTCTCATTGTCTCTAACACATGAAATTCTCATAACACTCTGCAAATAGTAGAACGTAGTAAAGAATTGTTGGATGAACACTTACTTATGCAAACAGGATAACAATATTGTACCAGAGTAATTATGGCTTCTTTGAATTTTTTAATGCTAAGGAGATAACATGCTATCTAATATAATCATTTATATGCCATAGTTTAAGTTTTCATTGTGTGTTACTTTTTAAAAGCTTGCAGAAAAGTAAAGTCACCTAAAAATAAAACATAGTACAGTGCCTATTTACTATTTCATTATCAACCTATTTTGTATTGACACATACCCCACATCACATGTATAAACAACCTTCGCGCCATATTCAAACTGATCTCCTACTACAAGCTGAAAAGAACCAAAGGGAGTATCTCCAGGATGTGCACAGGGCTTTTCTAAAAACAAAACCAAATATGTATAATGTTAGTATGCAATACAAAGTGAGCATTTTATGTAGGAGTTGGGGGATAAATATATGTGCTATTAAGCTAGAGGGTAGCATTAAATGTAAGGAAAATTGAAAACACCAAAAGCTATTTTACAGTTGAATGTATCTGTGTGGTTTTATTTTTGAATTTCTATAAAATAACAACAAAGACAAAACCAAAATAACACAAAAACAATAAAAATGATACAGAATTTAATAACAAGATAGTAGAAAATTAACAGTGGTTGTTACATTACATATTGTTATCTTCAATGAAGTTGCTCAGATTACCAGATGTAAGAATAAAAGATTGATCAAGCAATTAAAGAACAAAAAATAATTTAAAAAACATTAGAAATGATGCAGAGCTTTACTAAATGAGATGGTAGGAATTCAATAATGGTTGTTATACTGCATATAGTTGTCCTCAAATTAGTTGTCCAGATTACTAGATACAAGCTTGCAAAGTTGGTCAAAAGTATTTAAGCATTAACTGTTCCTTTCAATAAACCAATAGACATCAGCAGTACAGTTATTGCAGCTATCCTGTATATCCATATATATATTTCCCATCTTTCTTTTCTCTTTTCCTTCATCCCAGTTGTTCCTCCCTTTGAGCAATTTCTTTCCCTTTCACAATATCTATTGTACTTTTCGGGTTTTATTTACTCTTTCAGGTTCTTACCCTAGGGAGACAATAAGTAAATTGCTTTGCTTTTAAGCGATAAAATGATATAACTCAGGTAATAGTACATTGTCGACTACTAAACTGTTTTGACAAAAAATTTTTGTCAGAAGTATTTGATTCTTTGTATTATTTCCCTTGAGATTGGGGTTTTGTTCATGAAATCTTTGCCTAGACCTGTGTCCTCAAGAGTTCTTCCGCCAGATTTAGTGTTTCTGTTTCACTATTTAGTATTTTACTATGTACTGTTTTACTATTTACTATTTAGATCTTTGATCCATTTCAATTTTAGTTGAGGGCATGATGATAGATAGATATGGGTCTAGTTTTAGTCTTTGGCATGTGGAAAGACAGGTTTCTATTTATTTATCTTTAAACTTTTTATTTTATGGAAGAAATAATATAAAATTTCAAAACACAGTAATAGGAGAATAACAATAGTTAATATGCTGCGTATTGTTATCTTCAAAGTAGTTACTCAGAGTGCAAGGTATGGGCATAAGAACTTCTCCAAACGATATTAGCACAAAACTTTCTTTTCAGTGAACAAAGAGAAACTAGTAGTATAACTATCTTGTATTTTTTTCCATCCTTTTCCCTTCCTCCCACCCCAGTTCCTCTTTCCTTTTGAATAATTTCTTCCCATTTCACAATATCTAGTGTACATTTTGGTCCTTATTTTACTTTTCCAGCAGTATTTATTAAAGAGGCTATTTTTCTTACAGTGGATGTTTTTGGTCCCTTTGTTAAAAATAAGGTGGCTGAGTATGTATGAAGTTTCTTTCTTTCTTTCTTTCTTTCTTTCTTTCTTTCTTTCTTTCTTTCTTTCTTTCTGGTACTGGAAGTCAAACTTAGGACCTTGCACTTGCCAGGCAGTCTCTTTTGCCAATGAGCTATATCCCTGGCCCTATGTTTCTGCATCTTCTAATCTGTTTCATTGATCCTCAGGTCTATTTTCTTTGTTTGTTTATTTCTTTCTTTTGCCATTACCATCCTGTTTTTAATCACAGTAGCCCTGTGTATAATTTCAAGTCAGGGAGTATGATGTCCTCTGCCTTGCCTTTATTGCCAAGAATTGTTTATGCTATTCTAGGTCTCTTCTGGTTCCAAATAAATTTTAGGAATGTTTTCTCTAGTTCTCTGAGGTATGCTAATGTTGTTTTTTCGGGGGCGGGCGTCCCAGACTAGAACTCAGGACCTCATGCTTGCCAGGCAGGTGCTATACCACTAAACTATGTCCCCAGCCCCTCCTAATGGTATTTTGATTGGTACTGCATGAAATCTGTATAACAATTTTAGGAGTATGGCCATTTTCACTATGTTGGTTCTTCCTACCTTGGTGGGAGTATAGATTGGTGCAACCACTGTGCAAATCAGTTTGGATATGCCTCAAGAAACTAGGATTAGAGGTCCCATTTGACCCACCTATTTCCCTTTTGGCTATCTTCCTGGAAGAATTGAAAGCATCACACCACAGTGATATATGTGCACCCAAGTTTGTAGCTGCACAGTTTGCAATAGCTAAATACTGGAAACAACCCAAATGCCCATCAACCGAAGAATAGATAAAAAGGATTTTTTTTTTACAGTGGTGTTCTACTCAGCCATAAAGAAGGCTAAACTTGAGGCATTTCTATGTAAATGGATGCAACTTGAGGCCATACTCTTAAAGGAAATAAAGGGGACACACAAATATAAATATCACACTGTCTCCCTAGCGTGAGAAATGAAAGAGTAAATAAAGACCAAAATATACAGTAGATGTTGTGAAATTGTTCAAAAGGAAAGAGGAACTAGGGAGGGGGAAGAGGGAAATGGAAGGGAAAAGGAAAAACAGAACAATAAATGAAGGATAAAATGGAAACAAAGCTTTATAAATAATGAGAGGAGAAGGGGTTGAAGGGAGGGGAGGAGACTGGGAGAAAAAGAGGAGTTAAGATATATCATATACTGGTACAAATTCTCTGCTATGAATATGATAATTCCATATATCTAAATTATACCAAGAAACTTAATTTTTAAAATTGCAGAAAAAAAAGAAACAATGAAAGCACACAGATTGCATAAAAAAAACCCAAAACATTTGGGTAAAAATTTTTGTAATTTTCACAGATGAGTGCAGTACTTACTCCGACATATCCTGGCTGGATTAAGAGCCACCCACTCTCCGTTCCTGCAAGCCCTTATGATAGTTCCAAGAGTTCTGTATCCAGGGCGACATCTGTATATAGCCTGTGTGCCTTCTGGATATGCTTGGTCAGGCCAGGCACCTGACAGAATTTCTATATTTTGTCTTGGAGGAGGTCCTTTACAATCTACAAATAACAAAAGTAAAATAAGTGCCTAGCATGTCTATTTAAAGATAGAGTATAATTATTTTTGTTTTAAGAGATCTATACAGTTAAGGTGGATCCAAGTGTACAATTAATACGTATATACATTATCTTGTGAAAACTAAATTCATATAATTTTGTAAGAATATCAACTATGTAAAATTAATCTCAATAAATTTAAAGAACATTGGGTATAATTTATTATTCTTAATTTGTGTATGCTATTTAATCATTCTTTCATGAATTAGGCACTTTTATAAGTTTTGAGGAAAACACCATGAATAAAGCAATGTATCTCTCTTTAAAGTGTTTTCACTACAGTAGGGAACTGAGATATTAAGAAAATAATCAAAGATACATAATATGCATTATTGATATATACATTTTACTTAGGAAAATAGACAATCTAAACTATATGGGAACATTCAAACAAAATAAGATGGAATGGAATGGAACAATATTCCTATTATATTTTGCAATAAAAACAACAAATCCTGTGTGAGGTGTGTGTGTATGTATGTGTGTTTAAAGTCAAATTAGGAATTAAAGAAAATGAAATGAGCTAAACCTAAGTGGGAAGGGCTTGTTTCATGCAAACATGGGTTTCTGTCCATTTCTCATCTGGTTAATTTTGGCACCCCTGGATATGGATTGATGATCAGGGGTTGTGAAATGAGAAAAGGAAATATACGAAGGAAGATCTTGAAATGAGAAAAGGAAATATACGAAGGAAGAACCAGAATAACTTTGGGAGATTGTGTCCAGGTTAATAAATTTTGAAATGTGCAGAATCTTAGTGTTTTGCTAGAGCTTTAAATGTTTCTTAAAATTAGGATGAAATTTCCCATGGTCTCAGGAAAAATGTCAAAAAGAAGAAGAGATTGTTTCAAATATTCAAATGTTTTATCATCAGACATTTGCCGTGCTTGAAGGTCACTTAGAGTGAAATTTAAGAGCAGAAGCTAAACTACAGAAAAACAGATAAATTCATAGTTTTGGGGATGAAGAAGAGTTCTACTAAATTTTTTATTTTGAACACATACATATAATGCACGCACACACACACATACACACATATTCTGAACAATCTTCTCTTTGAAATTCTGAAAGCGACATGGATGGATCCAAATCATAAGTGTACCCAGTTTAATTTAATTGCTGATAGGATCAAAAGAGTGAAAAGACTTATTGATGGAAATCAATTATATAAACTTTAGTCATCACATTTATTTCGTACAAAGTTTTGGGTTTGAATTTTAAAAATTTTAAAATACACAAGAAAAGTGAAAAATATGACCGTGAAGAGAAAATAATTACCTAGCAGCAGGTGCTCAGAAATAGATATTACAACTAGTATCAAGATCTTTAAAAGTCGGTATTCTCAGTATTTTGAAAGAACTTTAGAAAAAATGAACAAGATGAGAAAAAAGGTAAAGACAGTCAGAATAAAATGATTCTAAAAAATGTTATCTACAAACTATGAACCCAATATCTGAAATCATGAATCAAGTGAATTCGTGGTGGCTTACAGAATCAAGTGAATTCGGCAGGAAACTTATTAAACTTTAAGAAATTTTAATGTACAAATATCCACATTGAAATCTAGAGAAAAATGTTTAAGCAATAATAGCAAACAAAACAGAATAAAAAATGTGTTGGGTAGAGCCAAGTGAGACAACACATGTTTATATA